TCAGCAGAACAATTCCAAAAGATTGAACATCTTCAGTAGAGACACAACGATGAGATAGTATCCGACGAGTAGGTGGCTGGATTCTGAGTGAAGAGTTGGAAGGACAGTGACGTATTCCGGTGTAGTTGAGGCCATTGCAACAGCATGTCGCTCTTTCTGACTGTTTTTCGATTTGTCGATCGTCCACATAGACATAGACCATGCATATGCATACATTGGGACAACGTTAAAACTTGTTGTACGCTGATGTGACAGTCTGAGAATGTGTGCAATCATTCATTCGTATTTTGTGCATTTGAATTTTTTAATGCTGTTTAGTGTTGATGACGACCAACACAGTATGTACATTCAATAGGACGCCGATCTGTGAATATCATTTGCACTGACGACGATATCATCATCAGGAATGCCTCCACCACCCCAATTCATTATTCATTCTATATGCAACACCACCACCAACAACAACAACATCACTTATTAACACCACCACGTCGTCACAATCGTCATCATCACCACCACCATCGTCATCATCATCATACCATCACCACCAACACAACATCACCATCATCATCGAGATCACTACCACAACACCCTCATCATCGTCACCATCACCATCTTCATCACCACAGCACCACCATCATCATCATCGTCGTCGTCATATGCATCACATGCACAGGCGATTCATCATCATGCAAACATCCCACGGGACAGCAAGTGTACAACGTGTGTGTGTGTGTGTGTGTGTGTGTGTGTGTGTGTGTGTGTGTGTGTGTGTGTACATAGAGTGCACGTGCGTGCGTGTTCCCCTATATCTCTTTGTATTTTTTCAGCGTAGTTTTATTGTATGCGTATGTTTCGCGTTGTATATACGTAGAGCTTTCAGCATTTGCGTGTAGTACGCTGTACACTATGTATGTATGTATGTATGTATGTATGTATGTATGTATGTATGTATGTATGTATGTATGTATGTATGTATGTATGTATGTATGTATGTATGTATGTATGTATGTATGTATGTATGTATGTATGTATGTATGTATGTATGTATGTATGTATGTATGTATGTATGTATGTATGTATGTATGTATGTATGTATGTATGTATGTATGTATGTATGTATGTATGTATGTATGTATGTATGTATGTATGTATGTATGTATGTATGTATGTATGTATGTATGTATGTAT